TTGTCTGATAGTGAATAAGAATTACTTCAAGAAAGCAATAAAATTTGTTGCTTAAAATTATTTTATAATATAACCAAACATACGTAGAACCAGACGACAAACTCTCCTGACTTTTGGTGACAGGGGCGGACGCAGAAATTTTTAATTAGGGGCCACGATGAAACTCTATACAAATCGAATACTTTGTTATTAATTTTTGAATGATTTATATTTGACTCAAAAAAATGCAGATTTATATTTAAAAAATATTTCTTCATTAATATTTTGCTCATCATTTTCATCAATTTGATTTCAAACGTTCAATTCAAGTGATCGAAAGGAAAAACATGTAACCAATATTCAATCAAATAAATACAATTTGTTAAATATAAATTAAATTGGATATAATCACTTCAGACACATTTTATGTACACGGATATGATAGGAGAAAATGCAAATTTAGGTTCTAATTAATTGAAAATTTGTAATAGATGTGATAATTTGTAGAAAAATTATAAACAAATTTTCAAAAATCAGAAAAGTTAAGGTTTTGGTAAAAGGTGTAAGAAAGAGAGTAAGTTAGAGTAAGAGAAGAAAAAGGAATTCAAATTTACTGTGAGTTTGCCCCTGTTTGGTGGTGGGGTTAAAATCAAATTTTTAGTAAATTTTGATAAAAGTTAAAAAGTTAAGAATTCTATGAAATATGTTATTAAAATTAACCATTAACTTTGATTTAGATTAAAATTAAGATTTCAATCGATACCAAACAGAACTTATCCCAAAAAAAAATGGTTGGGAGGTACATGACTCCCCGGGATCCCCCTTGGGTCCATCCCTGTTTGGTGATACAACTTGACAATAAGACTTTGTTAATTAAAAAGGTTGAACCCCAACCTTGAAGACCCCCACCGTCCCGCCCCTAGAGCTTTGTGAGGGAGGTAAAACGGGATGTGCCCCAGTAGGCTAGAGAACACGAGCTGTCTGTACACTGCGCCTACAAGGAGTCCAATTTCATGTCTTAGAAATCAAACCCCCACACTGCGACTGCCAGCAAGGCGTGAGATAACTCACTCTTGTCCTTTGCACCACTGGGCTATGCTCCGGGGGACTAATAAGACTTTGTTAATTGGTTTTACAAAATGTTGTAACCTATACAAAGCACAAGTAGAAACTTGCGACAAAGGAAAGCGGATGTCTTTTCCCCGAATTCTCATCACTTCAGGCACACATGGGCAAAGTTTTTATGAAATGTTTCACAATCGCTAAAGGATAGTGTCAAACCCAATTCATAAGAGAAACAACTACCCCCAAAAAATCATCGTGCCAATCCCAATAATATTATTAAATTATATCAGAACATGTTGCATTTCACCTGTTACCTGATATTTCACCGTAAAGAAGATGAACATAAAGTTTCAAAATTACCAATTATTTATTACATGGCTACTTGAAACCTAAAATTTTACATTGTAGTTGCTAAAACCATATATGAGCAAAGGTTGATCGAGGGTACAATTGCAAACAAATATGTTTCAAACACAACAAGATAAACTCTAATTTGTGGTATCCTAACCATTAGGAAAAACAAGGTTGAAGCAAAATCCCAAACAAAAATTTTGTCCCATCAAGAGGCAAAGTATTAAACTCAAATTTCAACTTATTCCTACGAATGTGAAAGGGGTATCATCAAACTGAAATTCCGAGTTCTGAGATGAATTTGAAACGGCATTTTCCTCAGTGATATAGCTCAACGTTATCTTCTAAAACCTGAAAATTAAAGCTTCATAAGGCTTTAACAATTATTCCTTTCCTTCCATACATACCGAAACCCAAAATTCTATAAACCAATAATCAAAATAAAAGAAATTTCAAATTAATTTACGACCAATCGTTTATAACAACATAAAACTCTCCTAAAATCTGCACTTTAAATCAATTCCATATCCATCATTTATTAACCAAATGATCCAAAACTCTCACCAAAATCACTTCCAAATATCTGAATCACTTGCACAATCAAGCAATGCATAGATAAATAAACAAATCAACCGTTTACACATCAATCAAAGAGGATATAATTTAACGAACAAGAGTAAGATCAAGATTAACACACCTGTCCCTCCGACGTAGGTTCAAAACTAGTCGCCCACAGAATTATATTTATACAGAGTATGTAGAGTACAAAATTTATTTTTCCCTATCACTATGCACAGTGCTGGTTATGTTCTTGAATTTTTCAATTTCTGATTTTCATTCGAACAGTGCAGAGAAATGTAGGCCCGTTACGGCGGTGTACGTGCCCTAATGGTGCGGCGGTTATTGCTTGCCGCTCACTTGTTTCCAAATAAAATTTTAGGTAATAGTATAAAAATAATTTTCTTTTAATTGTCACGGTCATCCCCAGGTTTCTATTTACATAATTTTGAATAAGTAAAAAGTAATAAATGTATAAGTGCGAAAACATATTTGTGGTTCGTTTCAAAGTATGCTGATGGAACATTTTTACACAAATTATGATTAACAATCATTTAACTAGTTAATAAAAGATTGAGAATAAGAATATAATACAAAAGTAGAGAAACGAAATGAAGTGCAACAATCAGCCAAGATTCTAGACATTTCGTGTAATTAAAAAGTAGTGAAACGAAAGAAAATTATGATGATAATATAACTCGTAGAACTTAATTTCATCCGGCTTTTTCTAGTTTAGACATTTTTACACCTAAATATTTTTTTCAACGAAAAATTATGTTAATTAAGAATGAGTTCCTTCAACTAAATTTGAGAATCAAAACCAAATGTTGGAATAAGGCTGAATCGGCCAATTCCATCGAGCTTAGTCAGGTCCGATAATTCAGGATATATAAAAATGATCAAACTCCAACAATATTGTACATGCTTGGAAAGTGATTATAATCGGTTTAAATTATATATAGATAAAAATGAATATTATATAAGTGGCTATATTTAATATGTGATGATAAAAAGTCATTTGTGAAAGCCCAAGAACAACTAACTAAGAGGGGGGTGAATTGGTTATTTAAAACTTTTTCAAAAATAAATGTAAATTTAAGCAAATAACTATGAAAAACAAGACAACACAAAAGTAATAAGAGGAAGGGAAAAGAGAATGCAAACGATGTAATAAGGAGGTTCAATCCAATCACGATCTACATCCCTTGTTACCAAGCTCTCCGTCACGAGCAAGGCTTTTTTCACTATTTTTGATTGACTTATGGTGCAATCCAATCCTTACAATGCTTCCGGTGACTTACAACTAAGGAATACCGATTCTTTTACACTTTGAGCTTTCCAGGACTTCAACTCGACCCACAATTTAATGAACACGAATATTAAAGTTAAAATTGAAAAGCTTCTCTCTTAACAAATAATGTGATCACAATGAAATATTAAGAGAGAGTTAGGCACAAGACTTCAATAAATCACAAAAAATATAGCTCAAATGTTTTGTGAAAAATTTTATTGTGATATATGATTTTTCAAAAAGTTACTCACTCAAATTTTTTTTCAAAAAAATAAATATTTTGATCTCTTAAAGATTGAAAAACAAGGTAGATAATATCAATAAATAACTCTCTTTAATGCTTTAGAATTCTTGCTTTACAAAAAGATATAAAGAGAGTTATTTATAGCCATCAATTAGGAGATCCGGACAAGTGATTCAGACGTTCGCTTGGTATCCGGACGGTTAACTAGCCATTTGTCAAACGGTAAAAAATTCGATCGTTGAACACCCCATCCGGACGTCCGGATGGGCCAATTATTTTGCCCTTCAAATTTTTCTTTTTCGTGAGAAATGTTCTTTAAGGTACTTGTAGGGTTTTCTCATATACTACGTATAGATAAGTAATTTTATAAAGATTTAATTGTGAAAAATCAAATTACTTATATTTTAAAAATAATTTTTATCCAAGTAAAGTTTGTCATGATAATTCTCGTGCATAAAAATTGTTTGAGCTATAATCGATGCAAAGTATTAAAGTGTTTTACCTTAACATTTGAGTATAGAAATGTATCTATAGCTAATGTCTTCAATTTCTTTATCCAATGTGATTTTGTGTATGAAGGCTCGATTTTCATTTCCTCGTTCGTAAATTTTCAATCTTGCTTGTGTGTTTGTCGCTTTGTGCCAAGGTTGCATGATTCTCGATCTAGATTTTTTGTGTTATAAATTTGTAATAATCACTATCAATAATTAAATGCAATTTGTTTGTGATAATCAAAATAAGAAGTCAACCATTAAGTCAACAATTCCCCCCCCCCCCTTTTGGATTATGACAAATAAGATGATTTTTGCAATATAAATGTTAAACAAATTGAATCTAAACCAAATAATCAGGAGCATGATTTTGTATATAGCAAGTAATATTCCCCCTATCAACATGTATATAATTATAATATAACTTTCCCCCTTGCTATGTTGTTCCGATGTTGCACAATCATCTGTTCATCTTCTCCCTTTTGGCATAAGCAAAAAGATATAACAGGTCAAATAGTGTGAAGAAAAAAAAACAGTACCATTTAGGAAGTCAACCATCCAAAAATATAAAAGAGCAATAGATAACAACTAACATGATAATAATAGTAGGCAAGAAAGTAAACTAAGGGGCCGGAGGAGGAAATCTAGCATAAAATTTGGTGAAAAATGCAGTATGCTGAGCCTGTATCTCAAATTGCTGCTGCTGCATCTCGAGTTGTCGGTCCTGGATAGATATCTGTTGAGCCTGCATCTGGAGAAGTAGACTACCCATGCCGTCGACCGATGAGGTAAGAGAATCAATCCGTCCATGGAGGAGATTATAGTGCTCCTCGGTAAATGTGGAACGCCCTCGGGAAGTAGGAGGCACGTTTGAGCCAGGAATGTCAGATGCGGTAATAGGAACTTCAGGTTCTTCATCTGATTCAGCTTCATCTTCAAGTGAGAGAGTGGATGGACCGGAGGTAGGATCGAACCCTTTCGTACGAGCCACCCATTGCCCATGTTCCTACTGTTTTCATCCATTTTAAGGTCTGAATGTTAATAGTATCGATAGGGCGTAATTTTATAAAATCTTCACTGTCCAATGAAACATTAAAATGCTTAAAGATTTTTGTGAGAAGCATCCCATAAGGTAAAGCTTTGGTGTGTCGTGATGCATACACAAGCTTCATAAGGCCAAGTGCAATAGTAGGAAAATCAATTTTATGCCCGACTAGTAGAGAATCCAAAATAAAGAGATTCTTTCATAAGGCGTGGATAAGCGTGTTCTTCCATCGTGGTCACGATTATCCATCCCATGCGTTCAAAATATTCTTCAATATGAAAAGCGGGAGCTTCTATCGTAAAATCCATAAAATCAACATTCTTACCGATTAAAATGGGCGATTTTTCAAAAGGGTTTGGTGGCTCTTCCGATTCCAAATCCATCTCCTCATCCGATGGTGAAGGGGGTCGTTGCATAATTTTTCTTCCCTGTTTTCCACGCCTAGAACCCAACATAGTAGATAAAATGGGTGAGACTTCCAAAATTTTCAAAAAACCAAAAGATCCCACTCGGATGATTTCTAGGGCACGGCTCAAAAGTAGTGATTTTCTATGAAAAATCAAGCTACTAAATGAGGAGAGTAATGGTATATGAAATGCTTGAACTATTATGAATGATTTGCACGAAAATATTCAAGATTGAAGAGGGATTCGAGCAGAGATTTAAAGCCGATTTTGGAAGAGAGATTTTTGATTTTTGGTTGATAAAGGGTATTAATCTTTCGGGTTTTTTGATTAAAAGGTGAAATGAACAAGATTCAACCAAAAAAATGCTATTGTGTGGATTTGCAGAGAGGATTTTGCGAGGAAGATGAAGAAATGGAAGAAAAAAGGGGATGGTTTCGTGTTTTAAAAATTGGATCGACGTTCCGGACATCCGGATGACAGTGAATTGTAAACACATGAAATGTTCTGCCAATCTGGACAGTATAGTCCGGACAGCTTTTGCTTGTCCGGATAATAAATTTTTTTTAAATAAATAAAAAAAAAACTTAAGTGAAAAGTGAAAGAAACTTAAACTAAGTTCACTTCATTTTCATCAATAATGCCCAATCCTCTTCGAATAATTGAAAAACGTTCATATGCTAGAGGTTTGGTAAAAATATCGGCCAACTGATCCTCGATTTTTATAAATTCTAATATAATATCTCCTTTTGTACATGATCACGTAGAAAATGATGTCGAATCTCAATATGTTTAGTTCGTGAATACAAGACGGGATTTTTAGACAAATTTATGGTACTAGTATTATCACATAAAATAGGCACATGAACGTAAGACAAATGATAATCACATAGAGTTTGTTTCATTCAAAGTGTTTGTGCACAACAACTAGCAGCCGAGATATATTCCGCCTCGACAGTGAATAGTGCAATGAAATTTTGTTTCTTACTAGACCAAGACACAAATGCAAAGCCTAAAAAGTGACAATTTCCACTTGTGCTTTTACGATCAACATTACATCCGACCCATTCGACATCCGAATAATTAATTAAGTCAATATGAGTGCCTTTTGGATACCAAAGTCCTAAAGTACTCGTACCACTTAGATAATGGAAAATTCTTTTTACGGCCTTTAAGTGTGATTCCTTAGGATTAGATTGAAAGTGAGCACATAGATAAACACTAAACATAATATCGGGTCTACTAGCAGTTAAATAAAGAAGGAATCCGATCATACCTCGATATTTTGTGACGTCCACAGATGTACATTGCTCATCTTTATCAAGCTTTAGTGATGTGCTCATATGTGTGTTCATAGGCTTGATGTCACATGTCAAATTTCTTAAGCATGTCTAATATGTATTTGTTTTGATTTATGAAATTTCCTTCTTTCATTTGTTTAATTTGAAGGCCAAGAAAACTTTTTAACTTACCCATCATGCTCATTTCAAATTCTTTACTCATGCATTTTGAAAATTCTTCACAAAAATGTATATTTGTAGCGCCGAAAATAATATCGTCAACATAAATTTGAACAATGAGCATATCATTTTTATGAGTTTTTTATAAAAAGTGTAGTATCCGCTTTTCCAATCGAAAACCCATTTGAGAGAAAAAATTTGCTTAACCGTTTGTACCAAGCTCTAGGAGCTTGTTTTAAATCGTAAAGAGCTTTTTGAAGTTTAAATACATGATCTGGATACTTGCGATTCTTAAAATCGGGAGGTTGCTCAACAAAAACCTCTTCTTGAATGAAACCATTTAAAAAAGCATTTTTAACATCCATTTGATAAAGTGTAAAATTTTTGTAACATGCAAATGCAAGAAGCATACGAA